GTGACGATGATGATGATGGTTTTCCGGTGATGATGGTGATGATGATGTTGATGATGATGATGTTGCTAATGATGATGATGGTGGTTGCCCGATGATGATGATGATGATGATGATGTTGTTGTTGTTCATGACCATGATGATGAGATGATGATGATGGTGGTGTTCCGATGATGATGATGATGGTGGTGGTGTTCCGATAATGACGATGATGTTGATGATGATGATGATGATAATAATGATGATGGTGACGATGATGGTGTTCCGATGATGATGATGGTGATGGTGATGATGCTGCTGATGATGATGTTGATGAGGTGATGATGGTGGTGTCCCGATGATGCTGATGATGATGATGACGTTGATGACGATGATGTTGATGATGATGGTGACGTTGATTGTCATATCGATTGTGATATCGATAGTGAGACTGATAGTTGGAGCGAATGTGAGATCGTTTGTGAGATCGATGGTGAGATCGATCGTCAGATCGATTGAGAGATCGATCGAATGAAATAGATCGAGTGAGATCGATTGTGAGATCGATCGAGTGAGATCGATCGAGCGAGACCGATCGTGAGATCGATTGTGATATCGATAGTGAGACCGATCGAGCGAGACGTTGGTTCCCCCCCCGAAATTCCTTATCACCCCAAGGGTGGTCGTATAGGTATGCGGCGGGACGTTTCAAGTTCTGCTGTTGTGTTAGATGGTTGGGTGATTGGTTGGTTTGGTCGGCGCGGTTCTCGCCCGAATGCTTGGCAGCGGGGGCCGGTTCCCCGAGTGGGCTCACGACGTGATGTTCACTGGGCCTACTAAAGTGTTTACCAGTCCTGCGGTGTTCGCACAGGGCCTGCCTGGAGGCGCGCAAGATCAACTATCGCGCGGATCGCGCACTTCCGGCGGCCTGGGCAGCACAAGCGGCCACGCGGTGCACGCATCGCCCACGGCCCGCGCGCTTCGCGCTGCCCGTGCGTCTCGCCCAGCCATCGGCAGGGGGCGCCCGCGCGCTTCGCGCGGCCCATGCGGCCTCGCTTGTCCGACGCGGCCCCCCGCCCCCGCATCCCGCGCGGATCGCGCGGTCCATGTGGACTACGCGGCCTTTGCGTTTCGCGCAGATCCTGCGGCCCACGCGGCAGATGCAGCTGCCGCGCCCCGCGCGCGCCGCCGTCCACGCGCAGGCGTCGCCCCCGCCACCGTGCGCCGAGCTCTTGCGACGAAGGCGCCACTTGCACGCGGATTAGGAACTGATTTGTGAAGTGTGTCCCCTTTCCGACTCTCTTCCTCCTCTTCTTCCTTCGCGCTTTCCTGTTTGTTGTTTGGGTCTTCTTTTTCCCCATGTGTTCTTTGTTGTTCTTCCGCGTCCTCGTTGCCGCGCGGATTTGGCTGGTCGCTCGCGGTAGTCGGGGCGCGCTGCAGTTAGCAGCGGCGCGCCCGCCAGGCCTCGCTGTCTGCGGGTCGGTCCGCACTGCGCCCCAGGTGCATCGGGCGCCCACCCACCTTGCGATGCGCTGCAGCCGCGCGGCGGTGCGCTGCAGCGCGCTCGTTCCCTCTCCTCCCCTCCCCTGGCCTCGCTCGGACGTGTGCATTTTTCCTCCGGCGAGGACCATCGAGGAGCATCCTCGATCGTGTGGCGAAGAAGCCACGCACGAAACCAAAAAAAAACACAGGAAGTGCACGTCCGAGCGATGGCCAATCCTTCCCCCCTCCCTGCGAGCGATGGCCCTTCCTCGCCCCGCTTCGCCCCGCCCCGCCTCGCCTTTTCTGTCTGCGGACGGGCGTGGGACGGCGCTCTCCGCGTCTCCCTCGTCGCCCCCTCTCCAATCCAGGCCCCGGCGGCCGAAGGCGGGCGGCGAGGGGGGCCCTGCGTGGCGCCCCTGCCCTGCGGGGGGGGGATTTTATAGCGTTCCTATTTTTTTTTGATTCGTCCCGCCCCCGCCCCCCCCTTCATAGCGCTCCTATGTTTTTTGATTACTCCCGCCCCCGCTCCTATGTTTCATAGCGTTCCTATGTTCATAGCGTTCCTATGTTTTTTTGATTCTTCCCGCCCCCGCCCCCCCCCGTCATCGCCCCCGCCATTTGCGCCCTCCCCCCTGTCGCGGCGCCCGCCGACGCGACGAAGTCTCGAGCGGCAGTGCCGTGACGTTTGGCTGTTTGGTTGGGCTCGTTGTTTGGGCGCTTAGTTGCGCGGCGGGTTTGTTGGTTGATCGGGTTTCGCTCGTCCGCCTAGTTCGTTCCCCGCGCCGCCGTCTTCAGCCCCGGCCGTTGCCGTCGCAATCGCGCCCCTTCCGCTCAGTGCAACCATTTTCAGCATTGCAGGATGCACGCCTTTTTCCCCGCAGCGTGATTCGTGTTATTTGTTTGACGCATCCGCGTCCCGCCCTCCCGCACCCCCCCCCCGACGTCCTCGCGCGCGCGTCGTGCGCATGGCAGGTCCGCTGACGCCCTGGCGCGGTAACACTCGGACCCGTTCGCAAGCAAATCCGCTGACACTTAGACCCACTCGCGCACGACGTAGGCTCACTCTCACAGTCTTCGCACATAATTATTTAGGCTCGCTGTCTCCCACAGCCTACTATATTTAGACCCGTCGAATTTTGATGCACCCATGCGTGGCAGAAGGCCCACCGAGAGCACGGCACCCCAAAGAGGTGCCGCCCGGGAGTGGCCGTCTGGTAGAACGCACCCTTCTGTTCTGGCAGACGCGCGAATGCGTGGTTCTTGAGCGCCCCGAGGAACAACCGCCAGGGGGTCGGACGCGTGCCCGTTCGCGATCTCACAGTGGGGACGTTCCAGGCTGTTTGCCAGTTTGGCAAAACATAAAGTTCTATTTTGAGAGACGCATGATCAGCGCTGCATAGCAGTGGGTGCCGCTTGGGCGCCCCAGAAAGGAGCCGCCAGGGAGCAACGCGCTTGCCCGTTCGCGCCCGGATTGCGCGCGGGACATGCTCTTCTCTCCTGAGAGCCGTATGGTCGTCGCGACAAGGCCGGCGTAGCACTGGGTCAACCCAGCATGGGCTTTGTCTTTTCGCGCCCGCGGTGCGGTGGGTGTCTCGACCGGTTTGCGCGCTTCTTGGGTCAGATCTTTTTACCACCCCAAGGACAAAACGCTAGGATGCATGGTGTTTGCCCCCTCGCGCGAGTGTCGCGGGGACGCGTTCGGCGGCTTGCGCGCGTTACTTGGGCACCCCAAAGGGTAGCTGCTAGACAACGCTCAGTCGCCACAGGCCAATGCGTTCCCACGCAAACATTCATAGCGGGACGTGCCCTGAGAAGATGTGCGCGCGTGGGGTTTTGGTTGGTCGGTTGGTCAATCAGTTGGTTGGTTGGTCTGGTCGGCTCTGCACCCCCTGGGTTGCTCGGCTAGTCGGCGCGGGGCCGAGTTGCAACGGGGGCTGGTTTCCAGCCGGTCTTCGCGGCCCCCACATCTCATGCGGCCCATGCTGGTGTTATGGGCGATATGAATCGCGCGGCCCTTGCGGCTTGCGGACTCCATCGGGCCCATGTGGAGCATTCCGTTTCCGCCCGCCGAATAATCAGCCGTCCGCGCCCAGGTGTCGCCCGTGTCGCTGCACACCCTGCGCTTTGCAGAAACCACAGCGCCAAGGGCGCCACCAGCACGCGAGAAGCGATTCTTTGTCTTTCTGCACGGGGACAGTTTCGCTTTCCGGCTAAGCGGCGCCATGCGATACATTCGCACACAAAAATTGTGTGGCTCAGGTTTCCGGCAATTGTGTGGAAGCCTGGCCAGAATTGTACCACTGTTCCTCCTTCTCCTCCTCTTCCTGCTCCTCCTCCTTCTCACAGCCACACTCATCATCACCATCATCAGCACCGTCATCGCACAACTACCATACTTGTCACCATGATCCGAATCGCCAGCACCATCATCATCAGCATCCCCATCGTCATCATCACCACCAGCACCGCCAACAACAGCATCATTATCATCAGCCACACCAGCATCAGCAGCACCACCAGCATCACCCTAATACGCATCATCATCAGCAACATCATCATTATCACCATCACCATCACCATCGTCATCATTCTCAGCGGCATCATCACCACCACCTTCATCACCACCTTTTTCATCATCATCGTCATCATCACCATAATAATCATATACAGCAGCATCAACATCATTCTCGTCATCGGCTTCGGCATCCTCAGCATCATCACCATCATCCGAATCAGCACCATCATCATCAGCATCATCACGAGCATCAGCATCATCGTCATCGTCATCGTTGTCATCACCATCGTCATTGTCATCAGCAGCGGCACCAGCATCAACGTCAGCATCAGCAGCAGCATCGTTAGCATCATCGGAATTGTCAGCATCGTCCGAATCGTCAGCATCGTCATCATTATTTACAGACTTAGCAGCAGTATCATTAGCATCCTCATCAGCAGCATTATCATCATCAGCAGCATCGGCATCACCAACATCAGCATCAACATCCGCATCATCGCCAGCATCATGATCATCATCATCATCAACATCAGCATGACCATTACCGTCAGCATCATCAGCATTAACATCATTCATCCTCATCATCATCATCATCATCATCATCATCATCGCCTTCGCCTTCGCCTTCGCCTTCGCCTTCGCCTTCGCCTTCGCCTTCGACTTCGCCTTCGCCTTCGCCTTCATCATAATCATTGTCAGCATCCGCAGTCATCGTCCGCCCTCCCCCTCCTTTTTCCCCTCCTCCGCCCCCTCCTCCTCCTCCTCCCCCTCCTCCTCCTCCTCCCAATTCTCCTCCTCCTCCTCCTTCTCCTCCCCCTCTTCCTCCTCCTCCTCCTCCTCCTCATCATCATAATCATCATCATCATCATCATCATCATCATCATCATCATCATCATCATCATCATCATCATCATCATTATCATCATCATCATCCTCCTCCTCCCCGTCCCTTTCCCATACCTTCCCCCTCGTCCTCCCCCCCTCCCCTGTGTTCTGTGCCCTTTCCCTTCCCTCTCCTCCCGCTCAG